CAGGATTCCCTTGCTGATAAGGTTGAGACACAGTTCTCTCAGGTCTCTGCGCAGCTCTCTCGCATCCTGGGAGCAGTCTCCAAGCCCGGCCGCTCCTGCTCCCCTGAGCCGGCCCCTGCCTTCAAGGGCGTTGCCGTGCCAGAAGGCCGGCCATTCTTGGCACGAGAGGGGGCAGGTGGCTCCAAGGCAAGGAGTACCTCACAGGGGGGAAACTCCAGCAAGGGAGTCCTGACCAAAAGCCAAGACCCAGATGCCATTCCTCCGAAAAGAGCGGAGGGGTGCACGGGACTCCAACCGCCTTGAGAACAGCCTCAGAGATGGCCCCAGGAGTGGCCCCAAAGGGCAGGCCCTCAGCGAGATAGTTGACCCTGGGGACAAGGGCTCGGTTGGCCTCACAGAACCGGGGATCGTCCTGCAAGAGGCCCGACAGGCAACCGCAAGTTAAGAATGCGCACAACCAGGCCACGCTTCAGAGGAGCAAGTCCAGCGAAGCCCTCAAGGGCGCGGGTGACGGCTAGTGCAGAGCGAGCACCTTCGGGAGTGAGGGGCCAGAACCTGTGCACTATGGAATGATCAAGAGGGTCGCTGCCTCGCGCCAAGAAGTCCCGGACGAAGTGAGAACTGATGCCGGAAAGCCTCAAACATGCAAGGCGGAGCCGGAGTGGGACTTTCAGGGTGATCTGAAACACTCGGCCGAGACCGTGCGGCGAGCCCTGTAGGATTCTGAGGGCGTAGCAGGACTGCAAGGCACCATCGGGGAGGAAACCTTCGAGTATGCCACGGAGATCCGACAGAGAGCGCCCCACGTAAGCAGGGAAGTCAGTATAGCAAGTTTCTCGAGACTTCGACGACAAGCTCGACAAAGTCATCCGTGTCAATGATGACAGCATCCGCAGTGACAGGCCGGTAGACAATACCGGGGATCAGATGGACAAGGATGACCTGGCGCTTGTAAGTGGTCTCGGCCTGCACATCAAGAACACTGATTTGCATGGGCCCTTCAACCGCCAGGTGGGAAGGCAGGGAAGGCAGGGTGGTTCTGGAGTTGATCGGGACAATGAGGGCAGTGGGGCCAACAACCTGCAAGCAAAGGCTCTCAGCGAGAGCACTGACGGGGCAGAAGGCAAGGCCAGACACCAGCGGTCCAAGTTGGCCTCGGGGGACCAGAGCAGGGACTTCATCATCCCCAACGAGTTCAAAGGCATGGGAGGGGGGGAGCAAAAGGTCCTCCCATTTGGCATGGGGTCGGGGTTCCTGTCGAGTGGAGAACCGCATAGGGCCAGGGAGGCCCGGGGGGGAGGCCCACGGGTCGCATCGGGTAAGGGGGTCCTCAGGGACCATCTCTTCATCCTCCGAAGGTGGCTCCGAAAGCGCGGGAGAGCGTGAGCCAGCTCCTCCTCCAGGCAAGGGAAAAAAGCGCAAGGTGACATGAGCATCTTGCCAGCGGCTGACAGGGTCTGTCGGGGACACCTCGCCCCTGGATGTAGGGTCGCACGTGCATGAGAAGGCGGTCAGGTAGGGGAAGTGTCCAAATGAGTTGCCGGAGCGTGACGTGTTGTGGGACGCTCCGAGAGTGTTCCCTCCGTAGTGGGTCGTGGAAGTGGACAGTGACCTGGGGAGGGAACATCGGGACTGGAGCAGGTTGTGGCTCCAATTCCTCGGGTTCCTGGGCAGGAACAACAGTGAGGATGTGACCAGTGAGGTCATGGGCCGGCTCACGAAGATCCCACACTCTGGCAAAGGAGGAGAGGGCAACATGGGGAAAGACCACAGGTGGCACGCGAGCAGTGAAGAGGACCAGAGCAACTGTGGCACCGACAGGGTAGGTAACCTCAACCCGAAACCCGCCCGGAGAGTAGATGGCGGTGCGGGCAACGCCCAAGCGGTAGGTGCGACCTGTGGGTGGAAGGCAAAGTCCAGCAGGGGGCCCAGTGGGCCGATGTAGTACCAACCCCTGACCAGGGCAGCATGGAGCTGTGGTCCCCACATGCGACTCCTCCAAACCTGCAGCACAAGGTGCTCGGGTTCATGCGACGCAAGCCCAAAGAGGCTCAACATGATGGCCCATGGGAGGGCCGCTTGCGGGACCGAAATGGAGTTGCCAAGGCCAGCAAACACATCCTCCAAAGATGGAAGAAGCACAAGTGGACGAGTGGCACCCAGCCATAAAGCCCACTGGGCAGGTGAGAGGAAAGCAGGCCGCTCATCAAGGTGAGTGAGCTGGGCAAACAGACCCCGGTCGGCAAGTGTGTCCGCAGCCAGCAGATGCTGCTGACTGTACCTGGCACAAAGAGTGCGCAGAGAAGCATCAGGAAAAGGGATGCGGCTCAGAAGGACATCACGTGAGCTCTCATGTCCTGCCCCGGCAAGATAGGCGGGATTGGTGTAGTATGGCAGGGTGGCGGCATCCAGAAGCCGAGCATGGTCCATCTCGGGGGCTTCCTGAACCTGGAAGGACTCATGAGTCCAAGGGACCGGAGAGGGATCCTGGAAGAGGCCAACAGGCTGGGAGGGCGGCAGATCAACATCATGGCGGAGTAGCACAGCAAGCCATCTGCGCCGAGTGCAGGGACCAAAAGCAGCATGATTATGGAGCAGAGTGGTATGCACAGTGAATCCAGCCCATCGGATGAAGGCCAGGATGATGGGGTAGTGGGGGTGCACAGGAAGAGCATCCACGCACTCCATCAAAAGTGCCAGGGGGGCAGCACGCCCAGCCCACAACATGGTCTCCAGGAAGCAAACACCAGCGGGATCTTCCAGGCCGTCCCGAGAGGAGGCTCGCGACCAAGGGGGACAGGGAGGAGAGGCCGTGGCCACGTGGCAACCAGACCAGGGAATGACATGGAGAAGGGAAGTGTCGCCAACATCGGCCAGAACAGCCACATGCGCAGGGGTGGGGACCCAGCTAGACATCCGTTGCAACTGCACCGCCTCAATGTCCAAGGTGGCCGCCTGGGCTGAAACCACAATTGGGGAGTTGTCCACCAGGACCTCATGGGCACCAAGGGACCTGCTAATGCATTCAAGAGCTTGGCCCCAACCATGAAAAGCACCAGCAAAGAGGTGGGTGACCGAGAGCGGTTCAGCCGGGAGGGGGCTCCCGATCCTCCATACAACCGTATCCTCCTCAATCAGGGCCACGCGAGGGAGGGTGCCAGGTTGCAAGGACACCCCAAAAGCTCGCAAGTGCTGCTCACCCGGCTGCAACAGGGCCTGAAAGAAGCTCGGAGCCCGGAGTTCAAACATGAAGAGCAGGCGCCGAGCACGCGGAGTAGCATGCAAGTCAGGCGGCAGGCCAGGAGAGAAGAGGGAACACTCCCAGGTGGAGTCACCAGTTTGAGCATCCACACGGAACTGAAGCAAGGCTTGCCCATGCCACATGAGAGGTTCGGCACTCTGGAAGAAAGTGCCCTGCTCGATCAAGCCATCGAGGGAGCCAAGAGCACGGTCCGACAAGGAGCCCAAGGCGCGCAAGACAAGGGGATCACGCGTCAACATGGCGGAGAGCCAAAGCCACAACGCAGAAGCCCAAGCACGCACAGGAGCCAAGAAGGCACAGGGCAGGGGCAGCGTAGGGTGGCGGCCACAGGAGCAAAGGCGGGGCGGCGGAGATGGGTATCCACCTTAGTAGACGCGTGACGCTCCAGGGAGGAGTCGCCACGCCCCGGGTGCCCAGAACCCGAAAGACCTTGGAGCCAGACGCCTAAAAGGGAATCCTTTTTGAGTGTTGACTATTTCAAGTGGGGATTTCACCCAACAAAAGGGACGTCCGTGTGGATGTTCAAACCGAACCACAGTGTCACAGGACTGTTTTGGGTGTATTCTCAGTGCTGAATTCAGGGATGAACTCTTGTCACAAAGTGGTCCCAAAGTATCAGGGGATGTTGGTGTCTCAACATGACCAACAATACCAACACATGCCCCCTTTCTGATTGGGCATCCCTTCAGCTTGCGCGTAAGGTGCCATTAAAATTCATGGCGAGCGGCATGGCATGTCCCCTTTTGAAACCACCAAAACAACATCATCAACACCTTGCGTCAAAGGCGATTGGTTTTCCTTGTGGTTTTCCTTGTGATTTTCCTGCTGGCTCCTTGTGGTTTCCCTCCAAAAGGCGGCTGTAACCACAGGGGTTAAGGGCTATAACCTGCCGTTCGAGCTGCATCTCCCCGAGCTTGGCCCAGCCCGAGAGCGGTCCCTCCCCCTCGGGGAAGTGCATGCCGGAAATGCCCGCGGATTCCTTCAAGGCCTCGGATGAGTCGTCCCCGGTGCATGCTTGAGGAGCCCACGAGCCGCGTACTGTTATATGCACGTATGTGCTCAAAACCAATGGGGTCCCATTGTGGGGTAGGTGAATTCACCACCCATTTTAGAACCGATTTTTGGTGGGGATTGGGATCGTTCACTAGGAGTACGGGATTTTGATCCATGGCCATACATATGCACTTGTGTGTGTGTGTGTCAAACTGGGGATGTTAAACCCAAGACGTGGTGGTTTGCCAGTTGAGTTCCCTTTCAACCAACTGAAAAAGAAAGCCCTCAAAAAAGCGGAAACCCATGTTGTGTTCCATCTTTTTGGCCCACAGAAAGGGGCAAGCACAAGGCTTCTTGAATAGAAATGGTTGATTCAACAGGTTCTAAAGGAGGCGTTTGAAGGCACAATGCTTTCTTAATACCAAAGTGTTCTTCACCTCAACGCCACGTTGAAACCATAGGAGGTTGTATACAAGATCCGGATGTGTCACCACTAAAACCACGCTTCCATCCCAACTAAAATGATGGTCGACCGAATTTTGACTACGCCACTTTTTAGGCAAACACCGCTGTTTTTTTTCAACCCCCCTGAGTAGTGGTCGTTGCGGATGCCCTAAATTGTGCAATGGAAAAAAGGGGAAACCCTGCAAGTTCGACCAGTGTCTGTGGTGTACTTGCCATTTTTGGCATCCATGGGGACATTTAGCTTTCCGTGATTGATCGGAAGGGTTGGCCCAACTTCCCCTCAACTTCCTCCTTGATTTAAACCAGTAGATGTGTGTTTCCCTCCTGTTGAATTGTTCGAAGGGTTTGCTTCCCCCCTTGTTCTTCCTTCGATTTCGGTTGGTTGTTGTTTTAAGCCCGTTCTCATGATTCCGCTCGAACTGCTGGAATCGCTCCCTCGAACTCCCCCCCCCAAAAAAAAAAACAAAACAGAACAAAACAAAAACACAACCTCACGAGAGAAAAGAAAAACAAAAAGGCGCGCCTCGGCGATGTTGAGAGTGGACAAACCTTCCAGGTCCACCACCAGCTGGTCCCGGCCCATCTCCTGGATGTTCACCCAACCACTGGGCGGGCCTCGCATGGAGAAGTCCGTGAAGCTAAGGCGGTTCCCCACCACCTGGGGTCGGCTCGGTTCGGGGCTCGGGGCTCGGTTCGGTCTGTTGGGGGGGAGTCTGTGGCCGAAGAAACCCCTGGCCGTAAACTTGTGAGGGGAAAGGTTCATCGAGACTTTGGCATTAAAAACGGGGTGGATGAATATGGCTGTGGAATTGAAGAGTTGGAACCACCTCCAGAGTAGTTGGTGGACATAAATCCCCACCAAAGGGTTTACCAAGGGGCTGGAGTGGGTTGTGGAAGGTGAATGGTGCGAAGGCACTTGCTAGCCATGCTTAAGTTTATATATTCATGAGATAGCTGGGACACAATCGAAGGCGAAGGGACAAGGGACACCATCTTCTCTTTGGGGAAAAGCCGCCTATGTTTGTTCACATGCCCAAGTCTTGAGTCACAATCAACACTTGGTGTCAAATGAGTCTACTCAAAACCATGGAAAAGAGCTAGCGCGGATATCCGCACCTATCAAAATGACTATCCCAGCTTCGCTCAAGTTGCAACAGCTTGCTGTTGGCTTCACCCCCGGCCTGGACCTCTTCCACCACGGCTCCCATGGGCAGGGTGCCAGGACATTTGGGGGATGTCTCAGACACCCCCTGCCACACCGTCAAGCCTTCTTTTGGTGCTCCCACCACCTTCCAAAAGCGGCCAGGTCGGGGATAGCCAGGCGGCACCGCCTGGGTGGCGAACTGGATCCGACAGAACCCCGAAATGGATTCCCTGCTCAGCAAGCCTTCATATCATATGGGCGTGTCTTTTTTAGTACCCTTTTTGGGTGTGGTTTGGAGGGAAGCCAAAAGGAAAACCGCCAGTTTTTTGGGGGGTCCCCTAGAAAAAAACACCCATATAAGGACTGCCGTTCTGGGATCCTTTTGGAAGATCGATGGTGGCAATGAGCCAAACTGAAAAGCTGCCATGGAGTTTGAGCCGCACTGGACAAAACAACAAACACTTACGGGCCAGAAATTTTGCCCAAACGACCAAACCACCATCTCAGACTCTGCATGTTGATTGAAGCAACTTTGGAGAAGGTGATGCTCGTAAATTGCTGTCATGTTGACCCCTGACCAATACACATAGTTATAATCAGAGGCCTCCATCAAGGGTCATATTAGCCATGCTAAATCTTTTACTGATGGGGGGGTCCCCCGGTTTGTGAAGATTCCTTTCTTTTCGGGGACCCCCAATTGACAACTGGGTTGTTTGTTCATCACCCCAAGCATCATTGGATTGGTTTGCGCCCTTTTTGAGGTCCCCTGCGATTCTGAGGGCAAGGACAAACAGGAGCAAGGGGGATTCCCACTAAACTTTGCTTCAAGAAAAACCCTGATCAAAAAACTAAGGGGTTCTCAGTCAAAACATTTCTTCCAGAAAAACCCTCATCAACCACTGCGGGGGGGTTTGTTCGTCAGGGATAAAGATGAAAATGGGACGAGCCGGCGAGCGAGCCTTCACCTCAGGCGCCGCTGGCTGTGGGCGCCAGGAGATTTTCTCCTCGTTCTTCTTCCGCTTCGCAGTGCCGTCCAGGTCCCCCTGGTCCCCCTCCGTGTACGCGGCCTCGGAGGAAACCATTGCGGGAAACCGCCCAAGCATCCCAAATAGCACCCTCAAGGGAAACCAAAAGGAAACCCAAACCGTGGAATCCAAGCACCCAAGCAGCCCTTGACAATCCGTACAACCCAAACCAGGGAACTACGAGGATTCGCGAGGTGGTCGCAATCCAAGCTCCGAAGATCAGGGCCGAAGGAAGCGTGGCACTTTGGGACTTTTGGCACCACGGCTTGGTTCAAAAATAATATTCCCAGGCACTTAACAGCTGAAAAGGGCGGGAAGGGTGCCAGTTGGTGCCCCCTCTTGGGGTAGGGCAGCCCATCCATGATTGGTTCCACCCTACCCTGGGCTTCCAGCCCCCACAAAAATACCCGATTTGGGTAATAGTAACGGTGGCTTTTTGTTAAGCCCCCCCCCCACTTTTTCACTGATTGGAATCCCAACAGCCGCTTTTCGATAGCGGTCCATGCCTTTTTGCCGGAAAACGAATCATCCCAAGCCGGCCTGCGTGATGCCCTTTTTCTCGACCTTCACCAGCAACTCGCGGTTGCCTTCTCTGACATCCACCCAGCCGGTGTAGGGGCCTCTGCCTCAGTGAGAAGGCCGAACGACCCTAGGAGCCCAAGCCAAATATCAAGACGCTCTCATAAGCCAGCAAACTGGGGAGCGTCCGGGGGAGGCCTGCGTGCCTAGCAGCTACTAGCAAGCACATGGGAATTGTCAAGGTATGGAAGATATATGTACCACTCAACTGGGAGAATACTGCCAAGCTGTTATTGATGGTATGATTGGTATGCGTCCATTGCCTCCAAAACCCATACCTGCAAATGGCCTTGTGGCTTTCATTACTGACTTGGGCAGTATGCCATAGAAGAACCCCTAGAGGGAATATGGGCCAAGTGAACTCCCTCAAAAGGAACTAACAACTTTGCGGTTGACCCCACTCTAAAATTTACTGTGCCTCAATCTTTTGATTGAACATCTGCGCAAATCTTACAGTTTGCCAGCAGTAGTTTTCCCAAAAGCTGATTCATTTAGTCAAACCTAAAAGCAGCGAAGAGAGTGATGGAGCCAGCCCTACACGCGACTAGCGGAGGGAAATACGATTCGTAGCCGACATACTTGATTTTATAAAGCAATAGCTGTAGAAGGAAGCACATTCACCACTAGTCAGCACAACTTCCACTCCATTCGGCCGTTGTAGAAAATCACCCTTTATTAAATACCAAAGTGCTTGATTCTCATGGCCTTGAAAACAAACACTTTTTGCCCAAACGTCTCGGGGTCACCGGATTTCCATCAAAAGGGGCACTCTCTCAGCCCAGGTCTGGATGTCTCCTTGCCTGAAAGTCGGGTGAAGCGGAGCCGGTTGCCCTTCATCTCCATCTCCTCCACGTGTTTGGTGGTTTCAAAGGAAAACCAAGAGAAAAACCACCATTTGTTGCGCCCACTTGCCACTGGGAAAATTGTTACACTCTACTTTGGGTTCGCTTGGAGGTCATGCTCCTGGCTTTGAACGAGTGTTGAACAAGGCCGTCGATAGCTATCCTTTGGAATGACTCCAAAAGGATTGCTGCTGCTACCCAAAACGATCCAAAACAGGTAGATGACCACAACATAAGGTGGATTGGTCACCGGACCCCCCAAAATGGGGCTTCCCTTTCAAGCCACACAAAAAGGCGTCCCTCCAGAAAATGTCACTTACTTTGGGGCCAGCGATGGAACCTTTCGTGCCCCAACTTCGCACCCTAAGCTGCCTCGCGGAAAGCTCTGCGGCTTTTCGTATGTGAGGCGAGAGGTGTGAAGATTCATAGAAAAACCAACGGCACACCAACCTCCCCGTCCTCCACGACAGCCCCTCGGGGCAAGACCTCCAACTCAGCGCGAGAGTACTCCTCCGGCCCCTCGCGGGCGATGAGGTCGGAGACCACGCGCCATCGTTGCTTCATGGCGGTCCAAGGAAATCGCGCCCCGGCAAAACAACACGAGAAAAGAAGGACAGGAACTCAATTCTCAACACATCTTTGGAATTCAGCGCCCGACTCTGCAAAGTTGTGCCCGAACTTGGTGCGGCTCAAATCTCTTGCGAGATCTCAAGGGCTCCCTGCGGTCCTACGGTTTTCCGGGGCGGCTTCGCTCGGACGACTTGAGCCTCAGCCCTGCCAAAGCGTGCAAGACATGTCGGGGCTGGACTGCATGGACGACCTGGGGACTAAGAACAGTTCGCTTGCTTTGGGTTTCTTTACAACAGGCAAAGCAGGGGTACCCGATTGCAAGAATTGTTCGCTCAATGCTCCCCATGTGATGTGGCTCACATATGAGGGTGATGCCCGTTTTGGATAGGGCCCTTTTGTGAGCCCTTGAGGGGACACCCCTGTCCCCAATTGAACGGGGCCCTGGGGCCGCAATGGAAGTGTGCCAACAGAATGATAGGGAGGAAATCGAAGGGCACCCCTCCCCCCCACCCCCCAACCCCCCGCCCCAACCCCCCCCCAAAGGGGCTCTGGTCAAAGAGTTCTGAGAACCTGTCTGGGACAAGTCCTGATGCTCCTGACACAAACAACATCTAACATGTTGCTTGTCGCGTTTGCAACGGGGCCTGAGTCAGGAAAGGGCTCATCACACAAACCAGAGCAACAGAACAATGGCTTCAGCGGTCAGTAGAAAACTGCCCCGTGCCTAACGCCTGCAAATGCCCACAACACAATCCCATAGGCAAGCCATTATTGACTAATTATTGTAGTTGACTAGACATGTTCCACGTGTTCAAAGGATGGGAACCCCCCTGGTGACCTCGCAAAGACGTGAGAAAGGGAACCACTGGGAACGCTTCACTTTGCCGACTCACGAGTTTGCCTTGGAGTTGACATCAAGAGCCAAAATCCAGAAGGCGCGGCGTTTTTTTTCACCGACCCCCTACTCCAAGTACATGTTTCATCTAGGCCATATCTGGACAGAGCCTGGTGTTTCAAGGTGAGCACCTCCTTTGTTAGTTAGGGGTTGTTGTCATACCTTCACACAAAGAGGACATGAGGGGATCCCCTAAAAACATTGGGGGACCTTCCATTGAAACGATCCTCATGTTCTTTCCCTTCTGGGAGCTCGCCATCGGCTGGCACAGAACCGTGTCCCCTTATTTTGGCTTGCCTCGAATGGGTGGTTTCCCTCTGGCGTCCCTTCTCAACAACCCAGAAACAACCCAAGAGTATCCTCAATTTGGCTCCACCTCAACAATCCCTTCCCAGTTCGTTTCTTCTCCCAGAAGGGTTCCGCTTCCATGCTCAAACGCTTTGTTTTTGTCTATCCTTCGGTTGTTTCAATTTCCCTCAAGGCACACTTGAACATGCCAAACCATCCCCAAATACCCAACTTGCCATCGATTGAAGGCGAATGATTTCCTCGCCCAGTGGCCAGTGCTAGCTGACGCATCGAAGTTGCCAGAGGTGATCGTCACACCTGACAACTTGGATGTTTGATCTGCAGGTTAGTAGGTGACAACCAGGGTTGCAAGATGTTGTAAGCTGAACAGGGGTTAGTTGACTCAGAATCGATGACATAACTATATAGCCTGTTACCTGCCCAGCGACCTCCTCCATCATTGTTGGAAAGATTATCTTTTCTTTGCGTCACCTCAATCCAGATAGAATATCAAATTAATGTCAAGCTCCTTTATACCCTCACACACAGAGGTATTCAAGCAACATGGAACCACACACACGCACCTTCAACAGGAGACTCCTCTGGCGGCAAAGGCGTAGCACCTCACTCGAATCCTGACCTATGCCACTGGTAGACAAAGGCTCGGAGGCCATTTTGAAGTTGACTGTCCTCCATTTTTGGAGTACGTCGGCTGGACAAAACAATATTATTTCCAGTAGTGGTGAATTCCCTTTCAAATCAACAGGGGGAAAACACAATCAGCAAACGGGTGTCACCCACTCCAAAACAAATTGGAACTGTCTGGTTTTGAAGTCAGGGTACACTTTCAAGGTTGGTTGAAAGGAAAACTAAAAGGACAACCACCTTGCTAAATGCGCATGTCTGAAAAGGGGGCGATCCCCGCAATTGCCCTTTGTCCCAATGCTTCCCCTTTCCTTTGAAACCAGCCAGCCAACCACGCGTCTGTAGAAACCGGGGACCTTTCCCCAATATACCTTGGTGGCGTTTCTGCCTCAAAATGCAAGTCGAAGGCCTCCCAACTGACCAACGGAAACCCGTGATTTGGTTTCCAGCGGAAGGGTTGGGCAACACATGATCTAAATGTCAAACAAAAAAGTCTGGTCAGCTTTCAAGATAAATTCAAAGGTTGAAGCTTCAACGACCGCGGGTTGGCTCGCAGGATTCGACCGGCCTGACTCTGCGGTGGTTGCCCCCTTCAACGTGACCGCGCCGGTGCTCGTCTGAAAGGCCCCGGTGCTGCCCGAGGCGTCAAAGTCGCCACTCGACAAGGTCAGACCGCTGCTGGCGGTCACGGCGCCTCACGGGGCGCTTCCAAGAAAGAAACCCAAAGAGAAGAGTGGCCTGTTTGGGTTGGGTTGGGTTGCTTGCTTCTTCGGTTCGTTGGGTTGGCTCGTCCATTGGGTCACGCAGAGCCCTGGCAGAAAAACCATGGTTGAGCTGCAAATGCAACAGTATGATCTTATGGCCTCCCCTCAATGCACCCCAAATCCAAGGACAAACCTGGGCGCATCCCCGGCGAGCACATTAGCGCATCGTGCCGCCGTCATACGCCCCGTGGGTCAGTCACCCCATGGCGGGCGCGTTGGCCAAGAAGACGCAAGCGCAACTGCCGCGAAGAGGCGACTCGCCTTCTTCTGGGACGGCGTTCGCCGTTCCCATGGCAGAAGCACCCTGGCAGTACGCCCCACACTCGGCCAGCAGTGTGCGGAAATCTGTTGATCTCCTGGGTAGGGCCATCCGTTCCTTGATCTTGTTCGCGGCAGGTTCCTCTTGTATTTGGTTGTGTTTGGACGAGCATATAGAAAATGAGGGCACATCCAAGGTTGTCTTTTTGCGCGCACAAACTTAATACCACGGCAAGAACGCTCTTGACACTGTGACCCATTGCTGTTTCGGTTGTATTTCTTTCTCATCATGCGGTTTCCACACATGTGCATAAAACATTCGGATGCAGAAGCCTGAAGAACCATGATTAAATCTCAAGACAGCGATCGTGTATTTCACCACTCGCCTCTGCAACAGTATGATGTTATGGCCTCCCCTCAATGCACCCCATAACCAAGGACAAACCTTGGCGCATCCCCAGCGAGCACATTAGCGCATCGTGCCGCCGTCATACGCCCCGTGGGTCAGTCACCCCACGGCGGGCGCGTTGGCCAAGAAGACGCAAGCGCAACTGCCGCGAAGAGGGCGACTCGCCTTCTTCTGGGACGGTGTTCCCATGGCAGAAGCACCTTGGCAGTACGCCCCACACTCGGCCAGCAGTGTGCGGAGATCTGTTGATCTCCTGGGTAGGGCCTTCAGTTCTTCACATCGCTCCTGTTGCCTTCGATCATAGCAAGGCACAACACAGCTCGGTGGCCCACTGATGTTATCAATTCACCTTATCATTGCTTCCTCCTCCATACTGCATACTGGGCAAGGATTCGGTCGCGCGAACGAAACCTGAACGAATTAAATGATTAAACAGCAGGCAGCAGGACAACAATACACCGTGTCCCTGCAACAGTATCATCCGTATCATCACGTGGCCTCCCCTCAATGCACCCCAAAACCAAGGACAAACCTTGGCGCATCCCCAGCGAGCACATTAGCGCATCGTGCCGCTGTCATACGCCCCGTGGGTCAGTCACCCCACGGCGGGCGCGTTGGCCAAGAAGACGCAAGCACAACTGCCGCGAAGATGGCGAGTGCCTCGCCTTCTTCTGGGACGGTGTCCATGGCAGAAGCACCTTGGCAGTACGCCCCACACTCGGCCAGCAGTGCGGAGATCTGTTGATCTCCTGGGTAGGGCCTTCCGTTCTTCACATCGCTCCTGTTGCCTTCGATCATGGCAAGGCACAACACAGCTCGGTGGCCCACTGATGTTATCAATTCACCTTATCATTGCTTCCTCCTCCATACTGCATACTGGGCAAGGATTCGGTCGCGCGAACGAAACCTGAACGAATTAAATGATTAAACAGCAGGCAGCAGGACAACAATACACCGTGTCCCTGCAACAGTATCATCCGTATCATCACGTGGCCTCCCCTCAATGCACCCCAAAACCAAGGACAAACCTTGGCGCATCCCCAGCGAGCACATTAGCGCATCGTGCCGCCGTCATACGCCCCGTGGGTCAGTCACCCCACGGCGGGCGCGTTGGCCAAGAAGACGCAAGCACAACTGCCGCGAAGAGGGCGACTCGCCTTCTTCTGGGACGGTGTTCCCATGGCAGAAGCACCTTGGCAGTACGCCCCACACTCGGCCAGCAGTGTGCGGAAATCTGTTGATCTCCTGGGTAGGGCCTTCCGTTCTTCACATCGCTCTTGTTGCCTTCGATCATGGCAAGGCACAACACAGCTCCGTGGCCCACTGATGTTATCAATTCACCTTATCATTGCTTCCTCCTCCATACTGCATACTGGGCAAGGATTCGGTCGCGCGAACGAAACCTGAACGAATTAAATGATTAAACAGCAGGCAGCAGGACAACAATACACCGTGTCCCTGCAACAGTATCATCCGTATCATCACGTGGCCTCCCCTCAATGCACCCCAAAACCAAGGACAAACCTTGGCGCATCCCCAGCGAGCACATTAGCGCATCGTGCCGCCGTCATACGCCCCGTGGGTCAGTCACCCCACGGCGGGCGCGTTGGCCAAGAAGACGCAAGCACAACTGCCGCGAAGATGGCGAGTGCCTCGCCTTCTTCTGGGACGGTGTCCATGGCAGAAGCACCTTGGCAGTACGCCCCACACTCGGCCAGCAGTGTGCGGAGATCTGTTAATCTCCTGGGTAGGGCCGTCCATTCTTTGCATTGCTATTGTTGAATCGTTTGCTTTGGAGCTGTGCGTGTGTGCGTCTGTTTGTGTATGACATAATCGCCGCGTTTTTGCGCCTCAGCCTTTTGGCACCACCTTCCTTATTGTCATGAGTCTCCTCCCTCCTTCGGATGTTTCAACCGCCCGTCTCACCTGCATCAAATGTCCCAAAGGAGAACCCGATTGGATAGTTTATAAAAAGGAGCGAACTACTTTCCAACAGTTTACTCCTTGAGCCATGACCTAATTTTGCCTTAAAGTACGCCACAACTCCAGTGATACGCCGGAAGACCACACCTTCTAGACAATTGTGTATATATATATATATATCTAAATACAACATATGAAAATGCAACACTATAAAACATATATAGACAAACACCTATATTTTGTTTAAAAAACAGTATAATACTATATATGTCGATGTATATATATATATATTAATATTACACGGACCCCCCCCTCCCCTCTTCCCCCCTCTTCCCCCCGGGCCGTTGAGGGACACCGCGCCGGTGCTGGTGGCGAAGGTGCCGCTACTCGCCGAGGCGTCGAAGTTGCCGCTGGTGAGCGTCAAGCCGTCGGTGACCGTCAGCGAGGGCAACTCAGAGGGAACGGCGACTGCTGGAAGCTGACGGAAAGCTCTGGGATGGGTTTCCTTTTTGGGGGAAGTTGTGTCTTTCATTGGGCAGAGGGTAAAAGTTGAGGTGATCATCACTGTTGGAGGGGAAACACCCCCCACCCCCTATTAATAAACAGGTTGATTCAGCTGACAGAAAGCTCTGGGATGAGTTATTCATTTCGGGGGGAAGATGTGGCTGCGGGTCAAAAATAGGGCTCCAAAATGGAACCCTGGTAAGCGGAAAACTAGGTTAACACCTGCGTAACCCTGGGTCTTGATTTTTGGGCCACACCCATATGTCTTTCATTGGGAGGGTAAAAGTTGCGAGATTCCCTCAAAGAGCAATGGTTCGGCACTTTGCTGCAGCATTCAGATGGGTCTGCGGAGGGAACTGCTCTTACACAACATGTTTTCTGTTCTTATTGGTGTAGGACTGGAATCTTTGATGTTGCACCAAAGAACCCCGAATCAAAATTCACACGACTTGCCCCACCCATCCTGGATTCTGTAAACTCTCGACCCCAACCTTCTGGCTTCCCCACGTGACCCCATCAAAAGCAGCCGGCGCTTTCATCCGTGGGCGCCCGCAATTTACAGAACCGGACATCGGGAATACACAAAACTTCATTGAGCGCATTTTACCAGAGCTTGTGCCCAAATTGCAGAATGAAACCTATGGGGACTTTTCCAGGAGCCCAGGTGTGTGGCTGCAGGGTACCCTTTCACCTTGATTGAAAGAAGCCAAAGGGAAAATTACACTTTTGGGGAAGTTTAGAATATCGCTTTGACACATACTCCCACTCTGCGAGCCAAATACCGAGTGGCTCGTTTCTTAGAGTAGTCCTGAATACGTGCGTTGTTTGAACATGACAATTTGGACAAAGGCTGTTTTTCTCTGGTTGACATCATACCCTCATAGAGCAAAAAGAGGGTATTTTGAATTTGGAGTAGGGCCTGCTTTTTTCCTCAGAGCTACTGTTGAAACTTGACCCATCAATGTAAACAAAACCACAGGTCCAGACTGAGAAGCTGAGCCTATTGGATTTTCTTTTCATGGCGGTTTCCTTTCGGCTTTCAATTGAAACAACCCAAAACCACCCTCCTCCCATGCTGAGAGCGAACCCATTACACCAACGTCAGCCATAGGAACTTTTCGACCCCAAGGTAGACGGTTGCAATCAACCACCCGCGTTAAGTCTACCTTAGTCAAGAGAAGGAACCCTTTGTTTGGAGCAATTGCCCTGCTTGGCTCGATTGATCCTCAACAGCCATTTAAGCTGTTACCCTGTGTGCAACATGGACTTCCACAGGGTCAGGGTGTTGGAAGCAGCATCATTCGAAACGAGATTTCTTCACTTCCGTGCTTGCTGGGGGTGAACATATTTACATGAAAGGATGGATTCCATAAGCAATCAAACATGATATAAGGTCCCACGTGTTGACGCAAAGCTGTGCACAAGGCACTGCTTAATCATGCCAATTGGGCTTAAAAGCTTGAGTGCTGATGACTTTGCCGTGGACGCGTACGGAAATGCGCAATGAATGCCATTGGTTTCAATTATCGGCTGAAAGGCCCGGCTTCCCTTTCAGGTCCATTTCCAGGTCGGTGAAATGCTTCTTTGACTGAGTAATGTGTAACCGTGCCACCAGGCAAAGAGCTCAATGGCCAAACACATTCTCCAACTGTCGGGCGGGGAAATGTATGGGAGGGGAAGCAAATTTGCGACCACTTGAAAGCAGGTCAACTGGTTTTCACCAAAGACCAGTGGATCTAGTTAGCCAAGTAGAAAATCACCAAAGAAAGGACCATCATGTAAAACTTAGAAGGAATAACTCGGCGAAATCCCAGGATACACAAACAGTATGTTTGGTTTCTATTCCATATTCAGTCAAACCTGAATATAAAACTCTTCTCTGAGGAGACCGAGTAATCCCTGGATCGGACCAACACTGGAAAACGAAAGGTCAGCAAGGTTGATACGATGTTTTGCGAGTCCTCGCATCCTGAGTGGATCGGTCCAACCAAGTCCTGACTTGTTTACGCCCACCCAGAATGGTCAACATCCCAAAGAACAAACTCAGTGTTCCCCATACTGCCCAATAAGCCTTTAGGTCTTACAAGCAATTGCACCAATCCATGTGGAGGCTTGGACTCATAAGGTTGGTTCAAGGAACGCGCGTGGAGGTGAACAGGAGCCGGTTGCTGCCGCCATCCGAATCGCAGTACGCGTGCACCTATCAGCCAAGCAGCCAGCTCTCTGAGAGTTGTGAATTGGAAAATCCGGCATTTCAATCTATTTCAATCCAATTGGCGAGTTGGATTGGTGGTTCGGTGGTTCCTTGGTTAGTTGTCTCCCATTTAAGAATTAAAAGAATGAGCCTCTTGGTGGTTGCCAGCATCATTCCCAAGGCCATTACTCTATTTCGGTTTTGGCCAGAATGCAGCAAAATTAGGTGTGTGCAAAAACCCAACGCTCACAGGGTCCCTTTCTGTTATTCTAATGGGGGCTGAAGCTTAGGGAAAGTAGATCCCGTGGACATCATGCAGAAATTTAAAGAGACAAACCTTGGGATTGGGTAGGAATGTCAATTTGAGCATGGACCCTGTAGCATTCAGAATATTGGGGTGTATGTCGACCAATTCATTTGAGGCTGTTTTATGTTGGAGTTCAAGAAGAAACATCGACTTCACTCAAGTAACCTGTCCAATCCTTGGCATGTGACCAAAACAACTTGTATTTGTTGCAGCCATCCACTAAAAATGATCAGCACCCATTCTGTTCACACATCGTGATTTTAGCAAACTAGCAGTTCCCTCATAATGGTGGTCTTTCCAGAAAGAAGGCTATCTTAAAAGAATTGGGAGTTGAATCTGCCTCCCCACCTGGCTTTCAGCAAACCTTCCAAAGGGATTTCTATTTATGTCGCGTCCTCAGAATCTTTGCCGGAGAACAAGGCCAGGCAATATCTATCAACCCTGGACACAACGCAGACTCAAGGCCACGCTGGACCCACAAGCCACGCCTGCCACTATTGAGCAAATCGAACAGCTTCCCAATCGGTGCAGCAACCCTCTTATGGATTTTTCAAGGTTGGAAAAGGCGGATGGACATAGATCCGCACGTACACATAGTGTCCACTCCAGGAGACCCCCCCCAAAAAAAACAACAACAAAAATCGGACCAGCCTGTTCATGTCCCCAGCATTTCTACAAGAGCAAAGCTCCAAGGGGCAAAGCAACACAGGACAACGTCTTAAATGTGCCTTGGTGAAAATGCCACGAATCTGTGGACCATGGTCATGTTCCTATCAATAGTTGTCTGAAACCCTAACCGCAAGTAAATGGGTGTGATTTGGTAGTTTTGCCAGCCAAACTGAGACTTCAGTCTGCAAAGCAACAACATTTGAATCAGTCCAAGCCAACAGCAAGGATGGGGGTTTCCTCAAAACAGGAGAGCTCCCTGATGGTTATAGGGAAACAAGGCCAAAACACCCAATGTCGACTTTACAAAAAAAAGGAAATACTTTGGACTTTGGGCTTTCGAACCCGGTGGCTACGGGTTTCTTCTGCAGACCTCACATGATGTTTGGCATCTTTGCCCGTCCTCCAAGACCTCATGGCGGAAGCCCTTTGGAAGCCAAAACACCCAACCTCACCTGCTCAAACATGCTTACACCAGGCTTGCTGAGGTCACCCCACTCCCGTTTTGAAAGAATTCCCAACCCACTGAAGAAGTGCCAATCGTTTCCAACCCTTGGTGTGGTAGCAAACGACTTGTTTGGTTGGCAGCCCCCCAGCGACCATGACCAGAACCAAAACATTTGCACTAAACAACTAAACAATGAAACACCTAAACAGCTTAAAACACATGGCACAGACCCCCCCCCTCCATCCCTCCCTGGAGTTCCGGAGTTTGAGCGGCATAGGCATGGGTCGTCAAGACCCAGGAGCCGGTGCCATCGGTGATGGTCATGGTGTGACTGGAGTCCCTGCCCAAAGATTGCCCAACAGACCCTCAGACCAAGCAGGGCCCTCCCCTGCAAAGCAGGTGCTCTAAGGATCAACTTTAGGGAAACCAAACTACCATTAAGACTTTCACTGAGGCAATAACTGGGAAGTACAAAAAAGATACAAAAAACAAACAAAAAACAAAAACAATACAAACCAAAAATACACACTGAAAAACAAAACAAAACAAAAAAAACACCCCGGGGAAAAAAACAAAACAAACAACCAGAAAACAAACAGACAAAAAACAGAAAACAAACAACACGCATGCACAGAAAAAGGGAAACAGGGATGCCTGGTCTGCCCCTGAAGGGTTTCTGGCTGCAGTTTTTTGTTTTTTTGTTTGTTCTTTTTTTGTTTTTTTGTGTTGTTTTTTGTTTGTTTCCGCGTCTGTATTTTTATATTTTTGCTGATTTTCAGTGATTGCCTATCTCTGAGGGTCATAAAACTACCACTCCAGACCGGAAAGTTCCTTGGACGAGTTCTAACAGGCTTCCCTGTATTGCATCGTAACACCTCGCTCAAATTGAATTGGCGCAAAAGATGATGTTTAAAGCCACCAGAAGGGGAATCATCGGGAACCTGTCGAAACATCTTTTTGGGGACGGAAGCAAAGGCACAATCGATTGGGCCATTGACTCTTGGCTCCACCAGGCACGTCATCAGAATGTTTGCGCGGAGGGAGGGTCTTGGTACCGAGACCAGGTTCCAATCATTGTTCTCTCACCCGGGGCCATGTCTTTGGTTCCAACGACGGACTGGTGTTTCCTATGGAAGGAACCAGTAACTAGTTGCCCGACCCCTCTCGAAATGCCCCAATGGCCACAGCACCCCCCCTTCAGTTTGCCGGACGCTGGGCTTCCAGTTCCTTGTCCCGCTACCTTTTGGTTTACTCGCCCGAGAAACAGGTGAGCGACTCTATAAACCTGCCATGAATCCCCATGTCGTATCAAGCTGCTTTCGCGCAGGCCTGCGCTTTCCTTGCGCGACCCATGCTTTAGCTTACGCGGAAGCCAGGGAGCATGTTAAGCTTACGCATGGCTTACGCATGGCCGTTTTGAGCGTTTCCCCTCAAGAACTGCTTGCGCCAGCTCCTGTTCTCATGCAGCAGGAAGGAGAACTTTTCAAAATGATGTGGATGACTCTGAGGAAGAAAATGACGAAGAACTACCCTCACGAGTTTCAGCCGCTTGGCATTGTTCTTGCTGCAGGTCAAGAAACGGGTTATGTGGCAGCGGCATCCATCGCGAGGGCTAGCGGGCAGCCCAGCTAGGCGAGCTTACGCGAACCTTACGCGCCTGCTTATGCGAGCTTACGCGCCCGCGCCCCTTGAGTTTTCCTAGATCAACGGTTTCAGAAGCCTTTGGTTTTTTAAAGGTTGCAACAGCACCTAGCATGAGACCCAAAAGCTCCCAATCAAGGTTCTGCTGGTTTTGTCTTCTAACGGTGTGCACTTGCGGTCTTAGACGGGGTCGGAAAAAATGGGTTGCCCTCCACCCGCCTGTTGATGAAGGTGTAGCTCCACACGCCACCTGAACCCGAACTCGGCTCAAACGGTGGCCAAAGCACGGCATGTTGAAGATTCTACATCCATGAAAACAGTTCGTGGAAATCACCCGATAATCCTTGTGAAACCATATCTGGTTGTGGCTCAAAATTAAACAGCTGGGGTTACGTCCCAGCCAATTCAACTGGAAAGAGGAGAACCTCTTTGGTCCTTGCCTTGTAAATAGCAACGAAAGTCTTTGTTGATCGCGGGGGGTCTTCTGTTAATTAGGGGTCCCCTTTGTGAGCTTGGAAGCCTTGCCAATTGAAAGCAACCATTCCTGACACATAATCTAGATTTAGCGGAGACCCCAGCAAACAATGATTAAAGTTCAGCTGATCTCACGCTGAGTAACTAGCGCATTAAATCCACGCTGATACCTCATGCTACAGAAAGTACACACACACACACCTACGAACAACCTGAACAATAAACAGTTAAAATGGTTCTCAAATTTGGTGACTGGCTGCAGCCGTCCGGGCTGTGTCTGGCCAAAAACCGACCAAGTGCTGCCAAGTCTCTCCGGGTAGTGGTGCCAGTGCCGATGCCCCAACGATGCGAGCTGCAGCCGGTGATGGTCAGCCTTGGGCCGTGCCAAGTCCTTGCTCTTGGGACTTTCCCCAAAGGGATTCCGGTGGGCCTCTGTGTTAGCCCAGAACCCCCCAAGTCCTCCATTTACTTAAGTCCCCTGGGAAAAATTAAAATATTTCCAGTAGTGATAGATTCCCTTTAAAACCAACAGGGGAAAATAAAATACTCTTAACCAATAGAAGAAGCTGCGCTATGAGGAGGTTGTGCACACAAGAAAGTCAGTCAAGGCTTGGCGTTGACTGGTCAAGTAGATACCCACTGGCGTTTGCGCATGCAATGTTGGACGCTTGGAACCTGAGTGGTATACAACGGGCAATGTTCTTCCCATGTGAACTTTTGGCAGGGGTGTCAACTCAGCATCCGTCCGCTTTTACCCTCTTGTCCACTAACATAGAACACACCAAAGGGTGTTTTTCAGAGAAACAATGTCTTCAAGGACCTTGAAGTCAGATTCCATGCTAGTGGAGGGGAGGGAAATCAAAACGGCTGTGGTTGAGTTGATTGCGAAGATGTGAAAGTGATACAAGGCATGAGCAATGAATTGCCGCGCTGCCAACCAAGCCCACAGCAATGGCAAAATGCTTGTTGTAAGAATCACAAGCACAAAGACCAAAGGGTAATGGAGGTGAATCAGCTATGGACTTTGCTTTCGGACTTGATGAGAAATGCAACTTGCTCCCGGGCAAATTAGCATGAAAGCAAAACAAGGGGTTCTGCCTCTCGTGATGGACTTCGGGGTTCGTGCGGGAGCATAAAATCCCAACCCCGGGAGAAAGGGAAAGGAACAAGGAAAGGACGATTCCTCCCATGTTCATGTCATGTAAAAAAAGAGCACGGGCGTCTCTGAATTGGAGCGCGAAAATCGCTGTACCAATGGGGTCTTCCTGCTCTTTCCCGCGGCGTTAAGCCGGAGCAGCGTGATCGCCTGACTCAGCGAGGTTGGTGTGATGAAGCACCTGAGATTCGCGCAGCAACGCCGGAATATCAAGGTGTTCTCATGTGAAAGAGGTGTTCATCTAAACCAAACACCCCAAACTGATTAGTTCCAAAAGGCGGCCATTTAAAACCAAAAGGGGGTGGCCCCAGGGCAAAAGAAAACAAGGAGACGCCTTTGCTTGAGTCAAGGCCCCGAGCGGCACACTTATTGCAGCCCTGATGGTCACATGATACGCGTCCTGCAGGCCCAAGGCTGTGCGTTCCCCCCCCCACCCCAAACCGACCGAACAACAGCACAGCTCCAAATCATCAACTGAGCCCAATCCAAGGACCTTTGTTGCAAGGCGCAAAACCAAGGGCCTCTGCAAAACCCGTGCTGTCCATGGACCCTCAAACCACCCTTAATAATGGGGTATCGCCCCAAACATGATGGGGTGATATTCAACTGATATATTCTGTGGAAGCCCAGGTTGTTGTTTTTGACCGAGGCACGAGGGGCAATTGTTGAAGTTACATGCCGACGTGCTCACATCAAAGCCTGGGACGCGAGGTGACGCTCAAAGAAACCACATATACCTGGACCCTCAAACAACCCACCAAATTGGGAATCACCCTCCCTAATTTAAGGGCCACATCACACTTTTAAGTGTAGTTATAGGGTCCAGGCACGAACCCTGCACAAGAAAGAGAGCCCCTTCAACTGGGCCCCTGTTAATTGAAGCCCTGTCAAGGGTTTGTTTCAAAGTCAAAAACCAGTGGCATTTCCTTCCTACCAATTGCAGGTGTGACTTGATGGTCAAGTGGAGGGATCCCTCAAGATGGCGCGCTTGTGCCTCATGGGGCAACCCTCAAAGAGAGTGGGTTTCCATGTCATGTGTTTTTCCTTGAGAACGTCCCCATGGTTCCCTGAAAACGTATCCCAAAAGGGGGCGGGCGGCCTGATTCAGCCACACTGCCCCCCTGTAAAAGACGCCCTTTGCTCAGTTCTGAAACCGACGGGAATTTGTGTCGCCAGACATTTGGATACCCGTTTTCCAACAATGATCGACCGGGGCAAGTTGCCTTTTCAAGAGGATGGTAGGCTTCCAACACTTTCCGTGATGGGAAAGGAGACCCGGTCTACAATTGGTGCGGTTGCCGGGCCATCCCCAATACCCAGAAAGGACTTGAAAGCCCTACTAGCGGCTCTATAGCGAAGGAAGGTAAAATTGTTCGATGACTGGCGCACAGGGGACAAATGGTGGCTGGTTGCTGGGAGGTCACTCACTGTAAACAAATCAAAAACGATCAAAACAGAAGTGTGCATCAAATCGCGCTGAATCTTCCTCCTCCCCCCCAAAAAAAAAAAAGAAACATCCCAAAACGCAAAAAAACAAAAAAAGAAACCAGGCCCACGCCCGGGGAACTGGTCCGATTGAAGGCTAAGGCCCCAGCTGTTGCCTCATGCGATGCGTGCGTATGCAACACCGAACAAAAAACATCGTGAATGTCAAAAATGGCGGGGGGTTGCCACCAAACATGGCCATGACTCATGACCCCTTCATTTGGACGAAATGTGACCCCGAAATTGCGTTAGGGTCGGGAGGCTCCAGGTGATCGAAAATGGAGTTCGATTGCCAAATTTACACACGATTACATGAGGACAATGTGTGTGCGTGTGCGTGTGCAACTGTTTGGCTGTGTATAACTGCCGGACCTTTTGAGAGTCTTAGATCAATGGCATCAGCCGGACTCGGCACAGCACCAACGCGTTTGTTTGCTTGCTCATTTGCAGAGTCACCAAACCCAAAGGATGAGCTCGTCACAGCATGATATATAATTGTTCCCAGTCCTGGAGGCAGCTCGTTCGAATGATCAATCCGCCACACGCAAATCAAGGTGTGGCCAAGATGCTCTTGTTTCCTGCTATTCTGCTACACAATTTGAACCTGCACACGCCCACAGCCACACGCACACGCAAACACACACACACACTAAAACACTTAAGCAATGATACACACACTCACACACAAACACATACACGCGGAGGCCCCCCCCCGACACACACACACACACACACAGCCACAGCCACAGCCCACAGCCACACCGACATACCAACTGACACACCAAAAAACCCGGCGGACCGCAATCCGCGCTCGCGTATTGTCGCTTTTCAGAAGAAAACTTGCGCTTCACCTCAGCGAAACGCACATTGAGTCCCTCAAAAACCTCCCAGAGGGCTGTTTTAGAGGCGTTTTGCGTTTCGCTGAGGCGACACGCAAATTGTATCGCCCATTCCCTGCCTTCTCCTTTTTCACATTTTTTGCGATCGCTACGACAGTTTGCTGCTCCACATCTCGCTGGCGCAAGACATAGCGCCGCTGCCAAGACTTCACATACAAGAGGAGATGCGGGCTGCGCGAAGGCAGCGAAATCGGAATAAGCTTTGCAGCTTGACCAAGTAGAGTCTATCGTGCCAGTGAGGCAGACGACCGTTTCGCGTCCGCGAAAAACATCTTTGGTCAGGCGTGCTATAACGAAGCAGTCGAGCGGGTGTGCCTACCATGGTCAGGCGCGCGCGCAGTGTTATTACGAAGCAGCAGAGCGGGCTCAGTGTTAGCTTACCATGGTCAGGTGCGCGCGCGCAGTGCTACAATGCGGCAGTCGGGCGGGTGTGCTTGCCATGGTCAAGCGCGCGCAGTGTTATAACGAAGCAGCAGAGCGGGCGCAGTGTTAGCTTACCATGGTCAGGTGCGCGCGAAGTGTTACAATGCGGCAGTCGGGCGGCGCTGGGCGGTACCATGGTCAGGCGTGCGCGCAGCGTTGTAACGCAGCAGTCGGGCGGGTGCGCTTACCATTGTCAGGCGTGCACACAGTGTTATAACGAAGCAGTCGGGCGGGTGTGCTTGCCATGGTCAGGCGTGCGCGCAGTGTTCTAACGAAGCACTTACCATAGTCAGGTCTCAGGCGAGCGGGTGCGGTTACCATGGTCAGGCGTGCGCGCAGTGCCAGGGCGAAGCAGTCATACGGGCGTGCTACGCATGCTGCAGGGTTGCAGGAAACAAGTGCACGCCGTTGAGCGCGGTTTCTGGTCCGCTAGCAAAAACGACAACAAAAAGAAACACAACACGAACACAAACACAAACACACGCGCACACCCACACACCCACACAAACAGGCACACTCAACCACAAACCCACACACACAAGCATCATACAAGCAAAACAAACAAACACCTCAAACTCGACCACAAACCCACACACACACACAGAAACATCATACAAACAGACACAAACACAAGCATCATAGATCCAAAAGACCCACATCGTAGTGAACTCGTTTTAGCCCAGAACCAATGAGCTCGCCATAGAATCATCTTGATGCGGGGACGACGTCAACCCCCTGGCAACCGATCAAGGCAAGCCGCTGCTTGCGTGATCACCTCAATTCGGAATTCGCGGAGGCGAATTCGGGGGATGCTAAGCCATCCAGCGGAACACCCCTTCTCTCCTCTTGAAGGTCCATGAAATGGGGGGGTCCATGCACGAATGTGTGTTTCTCAAAATCGAGGTCCCTTGAAACCAGTGCATTCTTCTTGGTTCGCCTTTGACTACGAATCACAAGGGGAAGGGTTTCTTCTTGGAGGGAAAGTACTTTTCCACCTGTATAAGGTAGCTCCGACGTTGGTCCAGCAAGGCGAACTGCATGATGCTTGTATTCATATATAGGTGCGTCTTTGGAGAAACCCCCTCAAACCCATATGTGGGGGGATTGGAGTACTGCACCAGACTGAAAGAACTGCGCCTTCTTTACGAAGCCCATTGCAAGTCTTTGTCAAGCCACAGCTTCATTTGCCCATATTAAACTTCACTGCGGCTTCCTTTGGACATCAAAAAGGAAACCCTGGCGCGTACGGAGTGAGACAAAAGCTTAAATGAACCTCTTTGCAGCAACATAATCTGCCAGAATCAAACGGAACCACTGGGGCAGGGCTCCCTCTATATACCTGGCCAGACTTCCCCTGCAAGTTAACTTTTTGCTAGCAATATTCCCACCAGCACTCAAGAGGGACCATCC